AAAAATAGCAATCACACTTGTAGTAAAGTAAAAAAATAATCAACTTCTAAAATAGTATGCAACATTCAACAAAAGTTAGAATTTTATTATTAATAAAAATAATATTTTACAAATTTTAAGATCTTTTATTTATATTCCCAAACTCTGGAAGTCATTTGTCAAAGATAATACATTGGCTCAAGCATCCGCAATCCATAACAGCAAACCCAAATGTAAATAAACATCATATAGGAATTGGCAGAAGTCACTTCATCAAAGAAAATTGAATTTAAATCCTAAGAATGTGCATATGGCTATAGGAACCAAAGCCATCGTTGAACAAGCGTTGATGCTAAATCACTATGATCAATGCTATTCTAGTGATTTGATAAAGGACTCCATGAAGATGAGCTTACAAAGTTTAACGTCTGTTATAAGAAACCGTTTAAGGAACTGACTCTTTAATAATAACGACTACAATTATCCATCATTCCCCATCACACCCCCAGTGCTCACCTCTCTAACTAATTTGAACCACTATGTGCATTTGTCACCTGATTAATTTTCCATGCTAGCTCTTTAAAACGCAAATTAGACAGTATTCACCTCTCACTTTTCTCTCTTCTCCTTTTCCATTGTCTTTCCTTCAATTTCCTCTAAAGCATGTGTCTAACATAAATATCAGTTAAGATCATAAAAGCATTCTTTAAAGTAGCAAACAAAAAGAACAAAACAAATATACTCAAAAATAATAAAAATAATAAAGAACTATAGTTATTACAAAAGCTTCCTTGTAAACTCACATGACCCTTGGCGGCGACACAGACAGCTCAAATCCTTCACGCCTCATGTTTTCAATTAAAATACCTGGGATTTACAACAACTGTAAGCACAAGAATATCTAATATATCATAGGATAAATTGACTCGAGTTATTCAAAAAATATAAAAAAGGAATAAAAAACTGAAAATATAATAAATGATAAATAAACTGAAATGGAAAAAAAAACACACAAAACATACCTAATTGTAGCTCTCCTCTCCCTTGAACTTCAAAGGATTCAGATGCACCTGGAATAACATTTATAGCAAGATTTGTTTCAGCTTCAGCCAACAGGCGGTCACCTATTTTTCCTCCAGTCAACTGAAATTTAAAATTTATAGTAAATAAAGTAAGGTTTGTCGAAGCCTGAACCAAATCATAAAGTTTCAATATCAACCTATCCTCTGTGGTTCTGAATTTTTGGGGCCAGGTTAACTTTCCAGTTGGGTGGCTGAAATCAATTCAAACAGAATCAAGATGCAGACCTCGTACTTTCACAACACTTTATATTTAGTATCATAAAACTCCACTATTTGGAATCATGAAACCTACCTCAAAATGTTTTTACATTAATACAGTCTAAATTAAATTATTAAGATGATTTCAGAAGATAAACCACAGAATTAAAAAAAAATCTGATGGTCATATTAAATTTGCAATTTCAAGATTACAAGATATTCTTCATTGAGCAATTACAAAGGCTGGGTTATAATTCCATTTTTAATATTTCGTGAAAGAAAGGCATGATAAGAACTTCATGGCGAAAGATTTCAAGTCGAAACATCTGTCGAAGGAATTGGCCTAAGTATTATATGCAGAAGATGATAAGCCAAAATATCAATTGTGGTGCAAAATGAAGAATATACTCATACAAAGTCATCGAAGTGATTCCAAAGTGAACTTTAACACATTGCATAAAACAAACTTCAATTTATAGAACCTCTAAAGCATAAGACTTCCAAGGAGCTTTCATTGTAAATTACTAAAGTTGTGCCAACAAATCAAGTACCCTTTAAGGTCTACATAGTTGTATGGATTTGTTGATAAATGTGGGTTAAGACTGTCAAGATCAAATAAAGGCAATTCAATTAATGCAATGTGTCTCCGTAAAAAGGAACTCCCTGTAATATCCTCCCATAGCTCAGCTTACGTATGAGTCTACATCTTTATAGAAAAAACAGAGGCGGCGGAGTTGAAGTGACATAAAAAGGCCACAACTATAAGCTAGGGAGTATTTAGTCTGAAAAGAAGCTGCCAATGAGTACATAGTAGCCGCATCCCACAACTTACTAGATAATGCCAACATTGATTCACAAAAAGGAGGAGCTTTATTTTGGATGAAAGAATCGTGCATTTTATTTCCGAATGAAATTTCCAACTAACGCTAACAAAGTAGATCTGAAATAAATTTGGTTGTTTGGTTTGTGGAAAAAGGGAGTGTAAGAGAAATATAATGTTAAAGTAATGTACTATGTTTGGAATTTTTTATAGTTATTTGGTTCAGTATAAAATAAATGCAGAATTTTGTACTTTTTTTTTTGGTTTGAAGAAAATAAATTCAATGTAAAATAAACCCGTTAAGTTTGGTGGGGGTGACGGAGGACCACGGCAAGCAGAAGGGGGCAGGCAGCTGTGACAGGTGGTTGACGATTGTGGTGGCGGTCAAGTGCAAGCAGGCAGCATCAATGATGGGCAAGACGCGAGCAGCAACTAGTGGCAGTGTCACTTAATGCAAAGCACTCTAAGAACTTTCCTAAGTGATCAAGAGGTTAAGGGACCATTTGGTTGAGTAGATTTATGGTGTACTGTAATTCTTTTGCATAAATTTTAGAAAATAGTGTGTTTGGTTTGAAGAATTACAAATGCAATATAAAAATCTAAATAAATTTGAAGTATACATCATACTTCATTTTGGATTAATAAAATTCCCCAATTTGACTAAATTTGAATTACATCGTTCATTAAAATATAAAAATACTACCGGCAAGCCACCACTCGCCACCCCCACCCCTACCCCCGCCCTGCCCATTGCAAGCCGCCCATTGCCTTTCATTG